TAAAAACAAAAAGTACCGATAAGAATACCGTTAAAGTACCGAATCGATAAGCAGTATCGATAAGAGTAGTAATACCGTTAAAAGCTTAACGATACCCATCCCTAGTAGTGAACCCTTTTACATTAGGCCTACTATAAGGTTACAGTTAACAACAGAGCCCAAACTTAAATAATTAATTTTTTTATATATATAACAAGCAACACTCAAATAAAAATTTTTTTTATGCGAACATGTAAATTGCACATAATGCAGTTTTTTAATTTAACTTCTAAATGATAAAAATTCTGTTTGTTGTTGAAATGTATTCATTTACATAGTGCCTCTTATAACTCATTTCATAACAGCTTTATTTAAACATTAAATACTTAAGACATCACTAACAGGTACAGTAAAATATAATGATTATAAAGTCTAATATTTCACGAAATGCTCTTCTCTAGACTTCATTTATAGTGAACTAACGAGCTGTGGACACTGATGACTTGCCTGAGGTAAATGAAACGCTACGTGACATTTTGTTTACAAGCTGTTTTATTGCCATCTTTCCGAGGTCGAAACACTGATTGAACGATTACATGAGGCGTGAGATGTTCATTCATTATGGGTGTGACGAGACACTCATCCCACGAGAATGAGACTAGTCTTTTATTTAACTGAAAAACACAAAATGTAAAAAAAATTGAAATCAACTTGTACTTTATGAAATTAAACTTCTATTTTAATGAATTATATGCAGTAATAAACATGTAAACACTGCAAAATGTTCTGCCACAAACTCGACTGACAGGCAAGTAATTGCACAAAAATTACAAATAGTATAAATAAAAATAAATAATAAACAACACACATATCCCTTTAAAGTGGAAGTGAAGCAGTCAATCAAGCTTACATCATTTAGTAAACTGATTTTCACTTTAATAAAAAATGTATATAATAAACACGATTAATGTATTATTTCAATTTTGGCTTCTAAGGATTATACAAAAGAAGACAGGTAAAGCTATTAAAAACTATCTGCGTTTCGTCTTGCGCAACTTATTTCCCTTCACAGCGGTGCGCATTCGTTCCTCCCTAAAACCCCGCTACGTGACATTTTGTTTACAAGCTGTTTTATTGCCATCTTTCCGAGGTCGAAACACTGATTGAACGATTACATGAGGCGTGAGATGTTCATTCATTATGGGTGTGACGAGACACTCATCCCACGAGAATGAGACTAGTCTTTTATTTAACTGAAAAACACAAAATGTAAAAAAAATTGAAATCAACTTGTACTTTATGAAATTAAACTTCTATTTTAATGAATTATATGCAGTAATAAACTGGGAGAAAATCCGATGTGTGTCAGTATATTGTCTTAAAGTGACATACTGGCGTTTGGGCCATCAGAATGCAAATCTGCTCTTAATCTGAATAGCATTATAGCTTTAATAAGCATTAATCTATCAATACATACACTGAAACATATCCCTTTAAAGTGGAAGTGAAGCAGTCAATCAAGCTTACATCATTTAGTAAACTGATTTTCACTTTAATAAAAAATGTATATAATAAACACGATTAATGTAACAGTTTTAAAGAAAAAAGGATGTTTTGTTATAGCTTTTGGAGAAAGGGCACCGCCACCTTGCAGTACCACAGCGTGTGACGTCACAGGGTTGGTTCGCTCTGTTTGCCAGTGCAGTAATATAAGCACTTCTTTACTTTTTGAACACACACTTGTTTTTAAATTGAGGAAGACCTACTTAAAAGGACTGTTGAGCCCATAATAAGTGCAATTGCTTATGCATTTGAGCCGATATAGCGAGGGGACTGAGCAGTAGGCTACTACTGTTACGGGTGGAAGTCATGAACCTGCTGGTTTGGGGTGAAGAGTGGGTTGGAAACAATACATGTTTACGTGGATACTCATCAAGACCGTGATTCTGACATAATTTTGCGTGCATTTGGTCAAGAAGTCGCGAAAGAGAACTCAATTTGGTTCTTGCATATGCTGTCTGAGCTGCGTGCGTGCGTGCGTTCGTGCGCACAGAAACGGTCTATCACAGCGTGCAAGTACTGCACTGAAATCTCTTTCGCGCTGTCTCACACTTGAATGGCTTAAAACACTTTAATGTTTCAACTGACAAGGCTTAAAACATGTGAAAATGATAAATGTTCTTGAGGAAGCAGCACTAGCCCGATCGTTCAGATAGCTGATTAGTTAAACACTGGAGCATCCTGTTAACAGCAGGTTAAGCATATTGTATTCACAGGTGAACATAAAATATCTTACATACCACTACTGGTGAAGCCAGTGTAATGCAAATATGTCTGAAAGGTCTGACAGACGGATCTCGTGAGATCTCATGCCACGAGATCTCATCACACCCCTATCATTCTTGTTTATTTCGCGTTGAAACTAGTAGTAAAGAGGAAGGGATGATCACGCTGCCGCTTGAACTGAGGCGTTTATACAGCGATCTGTCACTCACTACACATCAAAGAGTGTTAAAACGGCATTTATTGTTTGAATTTCCTGAAAAATAGGACATAATTTGAAAGATGAGACTTTGTTTCTTATCAAAAGTAACAATATAAAACTGGAAGTTTCCAATGAAGTTCTGCTCGTGCAGTGGTTAAAACAATGCTGTATTTGTTCGGTACACATGCGTACCGAACCAAAAGGCCTGTACCGAAAAGTTTTACCGAAAACCCCTAATATATATATATATTATATTATATTATAATAATTTATTTATTTATAATGAATAGAAATGTGTCCAAAGGGTGTATTCAAATCATTTATAATTGTTGTATGATTTTGTATGAATCTAGTTTTTTTTTTTTTTTTTTTTTATCTTTTCATGCAGTCAGAGGCCGAGAGCATCATCCAGTTCATCTCAGCCTGAGAGGGGCACTAGTCCTGTAATTTTGAACAGCACTCAGAGCCTTGAGGCCATGCCACGCTTTGCTTTTCCTGAGGATGAGGGTAACATATTTTTATGCATATTTTATTCGAATATTAGGTGAAATTTAAGGGCGACTTGTGCTCATTCTCAAATGGAGTTTTCTTATATTTTTGTTTCTGTTTAGAAGGTCTTGTCTCAAATCTCCAGCGAATTCGTCTGCGCAGCAACTCCACTGGAACAAGACCTACTAATCGCAGGGACCACAAGGGTCCGCGCCGCCTCGGGCTTCAGCAGGAGACCCCAGAGAAGCCACGCTCATCATTTACATGCAAAGTCCCCAAGTCTGCATCCGTGTCTGGCCTTTCCCTCATCGTCACAGCAGGTACAGTGAGCTCAGATGTGTTCATGTAGACGATGTACCATCATGTGATGCCATCACACTGAAGGCAACTGAAATTCATGTGACTACAACAGTAAACAAGTGAAGCAGGTGGTTTCAAGAGAACAATGAACAGTTGAGAGGAACAGAGAGCTTATTGATGAAGATTAAAGCGAAACATGACTTGACAAACTTTGTGATAGATATTTAATACCAATATGTGGATATTGCAGCTATTATAGGCATTTCTCTTATATATTATGTATTATCACCATAGATGACATCCCCGGTGGGCTCCAGACAAGCCCCATGTCTTCACACTCCCTCTCATCCAACCCTTCATCTCGGGACTCTTCCCCAAACCGAGACCTCTCTCTCAGCGTAAGCAGTCTTCGTCCTCCTGTGGTCATCCACAGCTCTGGGAGGAAGTATGGCTTTGCGCTCCGTGCCATTCGGGTCTACATGGGTGACACTGATGTCTACACGGTGCACCACATGGTCTGGGTGGGTATTATGGATGCAGTGTGAATAATTCCACTTTATTGCATGGGTAACTAGCGATGCATCAAAAATAAATTTTCGGTTTTGATATGTCATTATCTATTTTGTTCACACAACATGGATAAGCTATAACAGGTAAACATGTCATCTGTGTGGGCTGTAGCACTAAGTTGACAATTGCTACTGTTGATATGAAACAAAGTCTCAGCTTTTAAATTTTGTTAATTTTATAATGACATTCCAACAATCAATTTGGATTTGATGCTCTTTAATGTGGCATGCAAGATTGCCTCCATTCAAGCAGCACATGAACCAATCATGTCTTCTTTTTTCTGGCTAGTTATAGCATGAAATAAACAAAAATGAACATCAGAAGGTTAGTGAAATGTCTCTTGTAATCGCTCAATCAGTGTTTCAACTGCAGAAAGATGTCTAAAATATAAACAGATTTTACCCAAGGAAAGCCATAAACGTATTTGGCCTAATGAAACCTTTAATTTTAGTTTCAGTAAAAAATGTATTTTGGTTCATCACTATGGTTACTCATACTGAGAACCCAGTGTACAAATGTTTTATTGGTTTAACACATTGAAATGCGCTTTTATGTGTTGCCGTTTATCTAGAGCGTTGAAGACGGCAGTCCTGCTCACGAGGCCGGACTGAGGGCTGGTGACCTCATCACTCATGTGAATGGAGAGTGTATCCAGGGTCTGGTGCACACGGATGTGGTGGAGCTTCTGCTGAAGGTGAGATTCTCAATAAAATATGGAGTTAAAGGTGGCCCGTGCGCTTTTTAAAAAAGGACTGGGAATAGATGCTTGGTTTCTTGATTTTGCCATTTGTAGAGTGGCAGTAAAGTGACTCTGCAGACAACTCCTCTTGAGAATACGTCCATTAAAATCGGGCCTGCGAGAAAGACCAGCTCGAAGGGGAAGATGGCACGACGCAGCAAAAAGAGCAAAAGGAAAGAGGGTCAAGACAGGTTGGAAAGATGTAGTGTCTTCTGAAACATTTTAAACAAGTTAAAACCCGTTGAATCCCAAAATGTAATTTAAGCCCAAATTTTCTAGCAAACGGCGAAACCGTTTGAAGAAGCTGCCCAAACACAGTCCAGGGATTCAGAACAGTCGCAGTTTCTCGTCGGGTTTTCAGCACTCACCTAACGACAGCCTGTCGGACTCTCCAACGCCGAGCCTATCTCCTGGGCCCAACACCCCATGCAGAAGCCCAGCTCCAGACCTGTCATGTGGTATGACTCAGACCCTCTCTCACTGTCAGATACAGTCTTATATGCTTCCGTTTGTAATTAAAAATGCCTCAAATAATAACGCCTTGTTGAAGGAAGCCAGTTCTTGAAAAGAAAATAAGAAAATAATTCTTGAAAAGTATGTTTGGCAAGATCTTTGTCTTTTTATTTCTTAACAAAACTGTTCCATGGCTCATTAATATTTGAAAACCTCTTTTTACCTGAGTGATATCACATTGTGTGTCAACATCAATAAGTCTCTTTAAATCCGATAATTTGACCTGTATTCTGACAAGGCAAGGTTAGTTCAGATTATAGAATAATTATTTATGAATTAATAACAAATAATTCTTGATATTTGCTTTTTACCTTAAAATATATTTGAAAACTTTTCAAAGTGCTGTTCAAGGTCTAAGGTAAGGCAGAATGTGCTTATTATTTACTTGATGGTTACACTGCTTGACATTTCACTTTTCTTGAAAGTTTTTCAAACCATATGAAACCAACATTAATACAAACAGTACAGAACTTGGCACGTGTTTTAAACCATATGTTTTAAATATTTTTTCTTCATCACGGACACTGTTGTGTGTCATTTGATTTACACTACCGTTCAAAAGGTTTGGGGTTGTTTTAAAAAAAAAAGAATGCTTTTATTCAGCAGGGACACGTGAAATTGATCAAAAGTGACCGTAAAGGCATTTAGAATGTTACAGAAGATTTTGGTTTCAAATAAATGCTGTTCATCAAAGAATCTTGAAGTATCACGGTTTCCACAAAAATATTAAGCAGCACAACTGTTTTTAACATTGATAATAGTAAGAATTGTTTCTTAAAAGCACAAAATCAGCATATTGGAGTGTTTTCTGAAGGATCATGCGACACTGAAGGAATAAATCACAGGAATAAATGACATTTTAAATTATATTAAGATAAAATAGTTATTCTAAATTGTAATAACTTTTCAAAATATTACTGTTTTACTGTATTTTTAATTAAATAAATGTAGCCTTGGTGAGCATTTAATGTATTAAAAACATTTGAAAAAAATCTTAACAACCCCAAACTTTTGAACAGTAGTATATCTATAAAATACACACGATATTTCAACAGTTTGAAAGCTCTTTGGAGGAGCATTAAAACACCAGACTGTAAATAGTTTTTGCATTCATCTATAGATGAATAAATAAAAAATTAAAAAAGACTTCCTCATTGATGTTTTTGAGTAGTTTATAAGTGATTAGCATTGCTTGTACTCTCTCCACAGATTCAAACTCTCCACAGAGTTCCTCACCCTGCTCAAGCTCTCCGAATTCACCCATTCCTCAAAGTCGACCAAGTTCTCTTCATGTTTTGGGATCCAAGATTGGCCTCCGCTATAGCAAAGCAGGCCGCTGCAAGTCCACCAACAGTATCCCCCCCTCTCCCCTCGCCTGCAATCCCTCCTCACAGCCTTTGTCTCCACAGTATTCTCCATCTTCCCTCACCGGAGTTCCTAAAAGCCTCCACTCGTTTCATAATAAGATGATGTCCCCGCCGACCATCGTGAGACAGACGGTGTGTCCCCGCAGCGCAGAATCACCCCGTTCGCCACTGCTGAACAGGGTTCAGTCATCTGAGAGGCCCTCCGGTGCCCAACATGGAGACAAAAAGGCTTTCTCCACTCGAAGACACACTGTGGAAGTTCCCCAGAGTGAAGCTGAGGGACTCGAGTCACAAACTAGTGACATTGCCTCAGGTTTTGTGTGTGTCGGTGACCATGCTAGACAAGGGTTGTACCTGGCTGGCCAACGAGTGAGGGACTCCGGTGGTGCGGTGATGAGGAAGCTAAACTTGTCTGAGAGACGAGATTCATTTAAAAGGCAGGAAGCTGTTCAGGAGGTCAGCTTTGATGACTCTGATGACAAGGAGGCCACAACATCTACACCAGTGCCATCTCATCCACGTTTCAGAGCGGCGTGGATCAGCGCAACACAGGCGGAGGGAAGCTCCCAAACTTCAGCGAGGAAGACCGATGAGATTGGACCCAAGCTAAAAGAACAGAAGAAACCAGAGGATAAGTGTTAGCCTTAGATAAGTCCAGAAAACTGTGAGACTCAGATGTACGGGTGCTTTGATGATCACTTAAATCATAATCAGAGAAAGGACAGGGGTAGAAAGTCTTTGTTTAGTGTCATTTATTTGTAAGTTAGAAGTCATTCACCTGCCAAACTGCCTTTTGAAGGATAGTTTTCCCGAAAAGAAAAATCTTTTTTTTTTCAGCCTCATGTCCTTGCAAACCTGTGTAACTTACTTTTGACTGTGGAACATAAAAGATGATATTTGGAAAAGTGTTTTAGTGTTGTTTTGGACCCCATTGACTTTCATTGTATGGACAAAAGCTGTCTTAAAATATCGTTGGCATTTGTGTTCCACCAGAGAAAGTCATACATTTGAAATGACGTAAGGACGAGTAAATGATGACAGAATCTTCATTTTTGGGTAGAGTATCCCTTTAAGAATTTGTTTTACCAGGTAGCACAATTAACTTTTGTAGATTTTGAAAGACTTTATTTATTACATTTGTTTTATACGAGATGGGAATAGATAGGTCATACAGTAGGATCGCTTTTTGAGAATTTGAACATAATGTGGTCCTGCTGAGGTTCAGTTACTGTTGTTTTTTCATTCTCATAAATATCAGTAATATTGTCATTTGAAGTCATATAATGTCTGAGTGGTCAAACAAAATGTAGTTATTATATGTTGACTCATTCTTTTTGCCATTTTGCTAAATTGGCTGCACAAGAAATTAATCTTGTGTTCAGTCATTCATACCCAATAATATTCCAGCACCTAAATAATGACTTGTAAGAAGCCATTCAGCCAACCTTGGCATTGTAGTGTGTCATGTTTACCTGAGCATACTTGTTCATATTACTTAGAACAGAACGGATTATGAATACTAATTTGGTGATAACTTTTTATTTATAATGCTTTGGATTTGGTATATCTAGCAGTGTTGTACAAATGTAATCTTTAACAAATGGTGTTTTGTAGTCTGACTTGTGGAAATGTCTGTTCTCTTGAATTCACACAACAGCCATATGGCATGTTTTTGTGAGTACCCTATATAAATGCCATAGTTTTAATCTGCACTATAGCCTTCTGAAGTGTTGACATCTGCTTGTTTGGTTACACAGAAATTATTCAGTTACGAGTAACATGAGCTTTCTATGTCATGGTTTGCTGATGCTGGATTGCTTCCTCGTTCATTAATCAAAACTAAAGAGATAGAAGACAAAGTTTAGATACTTGCACTCCCAGTCTGACTTGTCTTTCTCTTCCTCTGTACTTCATATTAGTGTGGCACTATTTCCTTGGGTTCACATACTACTTTCATTTACTTTTGTATGGTACTGTAGTGTTTTGTTTTTTTTTAAGTTGAATTTGTGTAGTTTATCCAGTTCTACACAACCAGGACTCAAAAAGATCCTAGACTCTCGACTAAGTCCACTCACGCTCAACTGTATTTGTAAAGTTTGGATTTAACCATGATTAAATGTGTACATAATTGCTGATAATTATATTTCAGTGGTTTCAGTGCTTTTCCTTGTGACAGTGAATGTTTTTCATACTAAAGCGGTAGTGGCCTGTGGTATATTAACGACCTCCAGAAACGATCACAATACACTACTATTCAAATTAAAGGGGTCATATGATGCTTTTTTTAAAGATCATTATTTTGTGTATTTGGTGTAACAATATGTTGACATGCTTTAATGTTCAAAAAACACATTATTTTTCAAATACTGTACATTATTGTAGGTCCTCTATGCCCCGCCTCTCTCAAACGCTTCGTTTTCTACAAAGTCCCTCCTTCCGACAAGCGCAGTCTGCTCTGATTAGCCAGCTGACCCAGTGCATTGTGATTGGCCGAACACCGCAAGCACTCGTTGGAAATGTAACGCCCCTTACCATAATCGCGAGCTTCATCTTTCAAAATAAATGTAAAGACAGAGCCCGAAAGGGGAACAGAGTCGCGTGACAGACACAGTGATGAAGCTGGTATGTGTTTGTGATGTGACCCCCCCCCCTCTCTCTCTCACTCTCTCTCTCTTTGCTTTTGCCTAGAAACACACAGCGTCTCCCGGACATGGCTGCTTCAACACTAACTGCGGTTACTGAAACCACGCCTTCTTTCTTTGCATGCACATTTGGGTGGCATTATGCAAATATTTCCACATAGTGAGGTAGATATGTGGGGGCGTGTTAGAACGAGCCATTTTAGGGGGGCGTGGCAGAGTCTTAACTTTGATAAAGAATATCTCTTTGGATTTGAGACTTTAGTCTTTGCAACTTCAGGGATCTTATCTATGCACAATCAGCTTGTAACACTCCAAAGAGAAAGGAAAACTTGAAATCGCATCATATGACTAAAGGATTCGGGGTCTGTATGATTTTTTTTTTTTAATTAAATGAAGTTTATGCTAACCAAAGCTGCATTTATTTTTATGATTAAAAATAGTAATATTGTGGAATATTATTGTAAATTAAAATAACTATATTTAAATATATTTCAAATAAAAAAATAAAAAACTCCTGTGATGACGAAGTTGAAATATCAGTCATTAATCCAGTATTCAGTGTCACGTGATCCTTCAGAAATCATGCTAATACACTGATTGATTTTTTTTGTATTCGTTGATCAATAGAAAGTTCAAAAGAACAGCATTTATCAGAAATAGAAGTTTATTGTAACAATGTAAAATTCTTTGTCACTTTAAATCAATTTAATGCATAAAACCATTGATTTCTTTAAAATAAAATGACTGAATCCAAACTTTTGAATATTTCAATCCATTTTATATATTGCGGAGTTATATCACAGGAATGTTTTAATACCATTGGCCTGCTGCTTAAAATAATGCTGATGTTTGAAATAGTTAAATTAGTTAAATGTGCCAGTACTCTGATAAACGATCAAACAAATTGTCAAATTAGAAAAATAGCGTAATTTGAGAGGTTTTTTGTTTTTGTTTTTTTTAATCACTTGTAGGTCTACGTTTTTTATGAACTGTTTTATTTTGCACTACCTCGCCTAACCACAGAGGGATGGCGAAATATGGAGTGCAAGAATGATGAACGCTTCAGTGTTAACCGAGATTTGCTCTTTCGGACGTTTTCGGCTCATTCCGCTATTTTCCGTCCCGCTTTCACTAGTTCTCAAGCAGTACTGCCCGCTGCGTGCTGTGCTGGAAAATGGCAGTTCGGCAATTTGAAAAGCTTCGTGCGGAATGAAGAGGAAAAAGAAATCAATCCTGTACTCTGCTGAGGGACTAGATGGGAGTTAAAAACCTGAGTCCGGCCGAGTGTTAGGATCGCACATTTATTCGCACGCGCGAAAGAAAACCGTCAAAGCTTTTGCAACGACTTGCCACGGGTAAGTTTTCCCAAGTTTTGCACATTGCGTTACTGTACTCTACTAAACAGGACGGCTAGCTAGCAGCCTCCAAATGGGGGAAAATGGTGGAAAGGACACGAAGTGTACTGTTACAGCATACGATATGTAGGCTTGTTTGCTTCTAACGATAAGGCAACGGTTTATTTCTTTGCAAATTTTCGACTAAATCGCGAATTTAGTGGGCGACAGAAATGTGCAGACCGATATGCGTTAGGTTTGCATGATGCAGAAGCATGTTCGCCTTGTCTGATCAAGGCAGCAGATACAGTTAACACCCTGCAAGAGCTTCAGCGCGTGACAATGACTCGAGCACTTGCTGAAGTATTTATGCCACAAACTGAACTTTTTAAATATGATTTAGACCGTTCTGAATTTGAAGCGCCTATTTGTCAGTCACTGCTTATATTCGACGTCTCTGTTCTACATTATACAGCAGTTCTAGCTCATTTTAGTGATGGTAGTGTTGATTAGTTCAGTATAACAACACAAGGATTTTTCACTGTTCTTGTCTCGGAGCGAGTTATTCTCAGGATTGTACCAAGAGTGGGGAATGGAAACCCCGGAGTGGAGCCTCAGCCGGGACGGCAAATCTCTGTCGCTCCGTTCCACTGTCGTTTAGTCTATTCGTCGCGCCTAGTTAAGCTTGCTTTAGCTAAGCGAAGAAGAAATATACCAAATGGTACATTTCAGTTCAAAGTCAGCTTGAAATTAAAATGAAAATTCACCCTAGCTATTTTGTGAATGCAAGTCATAGTTATAAATTTGCGGCCATATGTACGACGAAATGCAGTTATTTGAATAGGAATACGCGCAATCTGGATTTTCGAGGCTAAATATTTCGCATTGGATGGATTCAAGTTAGTAAAACTTTGAACGCGAATTTGCCGTGTTTACCAATATAAAACTGATTAGCTTGGAAATCTGTAATGCATTGCTACACTATTGATAATGGACATGGACCTGGACCTTCTTTGCCTGTGAAATTTCGCCTAAATTTTGCTAATGTGACCGCACCTTGTAAATTATTTATCCATGAATATGTTTCTTTTTCCCCCCTCAAAATCCAACTAATAACCGACTGATAGTAACAAAGTCCCCTTCTTTTTAAATTATTTGTTACACTCGGATGTACCTCACAACATGAAAGATCTGTTGCTACTTTTGTTTCATCTTGACTTTAGATTACTAAAATACTAAAAAATTTAAAGGGGTCATAGGATGCTACATGCACTTTTACAAGTTGTTTGAACTGAAATGTGTGTTGGCAGTGTGTGTACACAAACACCCTATAATGATAAAAATCCACTCGCTCCTTTTTTTAAGTCCACCATTGTTTCACCTCCGGAGCAGATGTAGACAATAATGACTCCTAAGCAATTGAGGTGTTCTGTTGTTGGATGTAATAATGAACAGCAGTCATCATTTACTCCCGACATCTGAGCCGCTGAACTCGCAGTGAATTACATTTGTTTCTGAAGGGAATGCTCCCCCCATCTGCCTAAATGCGTCTATGTTCGCGCGAATCATTCATGATCCAGCCTCATCTACAGAAGAAGTGAGGATAATGTTTTGTAATGAATCTTTGCAAATCGCCTTTCCTAATAAAACAAGGGAAATGCTACAAAAATTACTTGATCTGAAAAGAGCTGTTTTTGACAGGGTAAAAAAAAGTTGTTTTTTATACTACCATTGAGAAATTTTAACCAAACTATGTTACAGCTTTTTCATTAAGTCCCCAAAGAATCATATCAACTTGTGGAAAATGGGCATCCTATGACCCCTTTATGTAACACTGGGGAAAAAAATCAAATCAAAATTATAGGTGGAAACATCTTGTCAACATGAAAATAATAATTAAGAAATGTAAGGTATGCTCATGTCTTTCTGTCTTCAGTCCCAAAGAAAACATTCCAGGTTTTTCCTCCATATACAGTGGGTACGGAAAGTATTCAGACCCCCTTCAATTTTTCACCTTCAATGGTGGCCAACAGTTTGATGGGCCAAATTGCAGTTTCAATGCAGCTTCAAAGGGCTCTACATGATCCCAGCCGAGGAATAAGGGTCTTATCTAGTGAAACAATCTTTCATTTTCTAAGATAAATAAAAAGTTAGGCAAACTGCAGTTTGGACCATTAGCCCGTTGGCCACTGTTAAAGTCTTATTATATGGAGAAAAATCCTGGAATGTTTTCCTCAAAATCCTTAATTTCTTTGTGACTGAAGACAGAAAGGCATGAACATCTTGGATGACACTGGGGTGAGTAAATTATCAGGACATTTTTATTCTGGAAGTGAACTAATCCTTTAATGGACAAGCGAGTAGTCCTGCCCCAGACTCACACCATTGGATGAGCCAATGTTGCTGTGTTGGGCCGGTCAGGATGCTCAAACAAACAGAGCAATGTTTTGAAAGCACTACAGTGTTTACATTTTTCATGAGAATGAACATGCTAATGGCTTACTTGTATTTGACTGCACATTACCTTTAGAAAGTATTTTAAAATAAAAGGACACACTTTAACTTTAATGAGCAACATTTTCCTTATCTGAAAAATTGCATGCAATATATCATGAGGCTATGTTCTGTATGCCGTTCCTTCAGTCCTGCACACTCCAAGCTTTAAAAGGATCTATTGTTTGGAGAACACTGTCTGTCACTAGACTCATGGGCATTAGTCAGGGTACTTCGGCCAATGAAATGAGAGAGGAAAAAATATTGCATAAGCTTTCCGTACCCAGACAGGCTCATCGTTTTCCTCCTCAACGCACATTTGCAAAATACTGTGACTGTCCTACTTTCTTAAATCTTAGACTGGTCTCGTGGACGAATTAAAACTCCTACCTTGGTAGCCTGAGGCTGAAGACATGCACAGTATGACAGAGAATCCTGATCCTGTTTTCTCAGTAGAACTCCAGAATCCAGTCCTTTTCCCCTGCGTTTGAATGATCCTAGTAATGTGTCATAGGCCTGATTAGACAAGCCTCATCCAACAAATATTTAGATTTTGCATTGGTTGTCTCTCATTCAGAATACTTAAAACATGTCATACAGGCATAAACATATGCCTATAATGAGCAAAAAAAAAGAAGTTATCCCCTGCAGAAAAGCAGTGTAGTTTAAAGGTTTAGGGTTTGATCACTGCCTAGATACATTTTCTAATATTAGACCGTTTGCTTGATTTGCCCCAGCTTCTCTGGTGATTCTTGAGCACATGGCCATATGCTGCCCAATAGGAATCCAGGATTACCTTTTCCCTTCTGTAGCAACAGTGAGTTTCCTGCCTCAATTCATTAATTATTTTGTGCTCTGCCTTGGTCACAGTGTTTTGCAAACTGCTCTGCTCAGACTGAATAAAAGGGAGGAAAGGATGCGTACGAATCCGTCTGCAGCCGTCCTGCAGTTTAAGCTGTGTGCTTGACTGTAAAGATGAGGATTTCTCTCAGCAGAACTTTTAGCTTTAGCACTCGGACTCGGATTTAACTTTTTCGTTTTTCCTGAATGAACTCTGTCATACAGTCCAGTAGCATTACATGAAATGCTTTAGTTATAATGATGAAAAGGCGGAAAGAGGGATGACGTATTTCGGAGGGGGTGTTTCGGTGGTGTGAGGATTGCGGGCTGTGGTTGGGTATGTCAGTGCCACGTGTCTGTGCTTGCACCTCTCTTCTCCACACAGAGGATGTCGGACTGAGACCCTAGTGCGCCTGGTCAAAGTGGGGTGAGTGTTACCCTGTGATGCCTGCGAACACTTTGACGTTGTTTATTAGATTGCGATCTTTCCTCGGGGTCGGCAAACCTTTAAAATGCCACTTCATTTGTATATGAGCATAAGCCCCTGGTTCGAATGTGTGCATGCGCATGAAAAAATTATACGTTTTGCCATTCCGTCATATAAGTGATGCATATTGCAAATATGCTTAAACAAAATCAACTGCATACTGTAATAATTGGATTCTTAGGCAAGAATGGACTTCATATTGGATTATTTTAAAACTTAAGCGACCTGCGCTCATTCAGGAATGCTATTCCCACAAACAACTGTGAACATCTTTGTCAAATTTGAGGCAGTTATCTTTTTGGCTATTTGCTGAAATTGAAATATTTGTTGACGTACTGCGACCTTAGCGGACTTGATATTTCTGGCTTAATTTTTTCAAGGTAGGTGCAGAAGCTTGTTTCTTGGGTTTAGTTTGCTTTAAGATAATGGTGTTGAAAAATTAGTCACCTGGTCTTACGAATGACTTACTGTGACCATTATATGACGCATGTATGAGGTGCATCAAGTTTAGTGCATTTATATGCAATTTAAAAATTTGATTTCAGTCAGATTATTACAAAAATGTGTCTTTTTTTGAAAAATTAAAAAACTTCTGTTTCTGTTTTTTGTGAAGTCGGATTTACAGACCTAGTCTTTGTCCAGCATGTTTAATCAGACTACATTTTGCCTCGGCATTGTGCATTTTCTATGAGAGACAGAGGTGTTGCACGACGTGTATTTAATGCTTTGAATATTTTATTACGCATTCTGTCATGTATACTTGGACTGTCTGGTCTATGTAAAAGCCTTGCTGTAGCTTGACTGTAAACGTATTGATTAAGTTATTGCGATTATTTTATTATTATTCTTTTAGAAAGCCTTTGTGTGAGTATTTTGCTCTTAGTGTACTTATGTCTTTTTTTCCTCCATACAGTCATCACGTTATACTGGGAGGATCACATCTTTCGAGGGAATGTTGAGCAACCTGCTATAAGACGACATCAGCTGATTTGGCGAAATAAATCTGTGAAGGACTTCATTCTTTATTTCTTTTCCGGTGGCTGAATGAGCATGCTGCATTCCCTCTGTTCCATCATTTGGTTGAACCGCGGGTTCAAGCTGAGAAAAGTGGCCTGTTCGGCCAACACCGGCCAGGTCTAAGCCGTTGCTACCGCGCATGCCTGTTTATGAGCTCCGGTTAGAAGTGCTTAACTTTTAACTAAACGTCCCACGGTACGACATCAATCATACCCTCGCAAAGTTTCATCCCCAGTCCGACGTTCTTTTGCCTGGGGTGATTGTCATTCCATACTCTGAAAATGGCTGCCGATGGCTTCCAGTACAGGTCTCTGTACTCCTACTGTAAAGACTGGGAGGATGACATTGACCTTGAGCCTGGTGATATCCTGACGGTCGACAAAGCATCTCTGCTGTCACAGGGCTTTAAAGAGGGAGACAAGCAACACCCAGAATGCCTCGGCTGGATCTTGGGCTTTAACGAGAGAACTAAACAGAGGGGAAACTTTCCAGGGACATATGTGCAGTATGTGGGACCTTTGAAAATGTCAGTGCCGTCCTGCCAGCCTCGTTCTCAGAGAGCGCTTCCTGCTGTTCCCAGACCTGAGCCAACAGCCTCCTCGCAGGGTAAGACTGGCTGCTTTTACTGTGATGATGACCAATGACTAACCTGCTTAATCTGTGCTAAAGAGCTGTCATAACCTGTTTTGTTTTGGGGACTGACTGCTATGCTTGTTGAATCAGGCCTCAGACCTCTCATAATAAACATCTCGTAATAAAGATTTTTTTCTTTTTCCTTTTTTGTTGAAGGAAAAGAGGGAATTTGCTGTTGACAGCAGGCTTCTTCTACAATGAAATCAGTTAGGTGTTGAATCATTAGAGATTTTGCTTGTGTAAGATTTTTTTTCCATTCCACAAAAGGTTCTTTACAGTGTAAAAAGGTTCTTCAGATTATTAAACCAAAGAAAAATCAGTTCTTTTAAGAACTGTTCAAATAAAGGTTCTTTGGGTAACCTAAAATGGATTCCATGGCATTGCTGTGAAAAACTCCTGTTGGAACCTTTATTTTTAAGAGCGCAGCAAAATCATCTATGTAGATGCTACCTTGTACCCTCTTAGTTATTTAGTGTCTCTTTCCCTAAACTGTCTTTGCTCCTGTATTTCTCTGGCACTTTCCCCGAGCTCTTTCTCCTCCTCGTTTTATGCCCTCAGGAAGCAGTAAATTATAGTATGTTTGGAGGCCTGGCAGTTCCCCAGGCCAATCTGGAGAGTTAAATGTATCAGGTAGGGCTTTCAGCTTCATCTGCACATTCCCACTCCCATCAGGTGATTTTTGCTTCAATGTCTCCTTTGTGTCCCTTTTTTGGACAGTTAAACTTCCCCAGCACTGCAGTGCACACTAAAAAGAAGTTGTCATATTCAGTTTGTGATGCTCACTGACTAAAAAGAGAACGCAAGAGAAGTTTTGGTGTACTTTGAAGTGTTGAATTACAGGACCAGATACACACAATTTAGATGCTGCTTTCGAGTTATATCCAGACCAAGGACAATCTATGGAATTCTGTGTTGATTGTTTTAAAATGCAAGGGGCACGAAATGTGTAGAATTGTGAATGATGGGTATTCCCATTGTGTGGAAATCTGGAGTTCTGCAGGCACAGATTCCATCTAGGCCTAGAAACATGAACAGGGTTACAATTATCATGGAAAAAAATCTCCAGATTTTTATTTTATTTTTTTTATCCTGATTTCCAGGACCTCAAAAGTCATGGAAAAGTAATAAAATCTAGTTGTATTCAACTTTTTTTGGCTAAAAATCTGTAAAATAATTGTCAAAATATGTTATTCAGTCATAAACGATTGGACACTGGACAGGTGTTGGTAACTCATTGGTCAAAAGTTGCTCATCAGTGTTGCTTTAGTGACTTCTTTCTAAAATTAAGTTGCTACTAGTTTAATCGACTAACTTACATAATTCTCTCTGCTTTTCTTATGTAGATGTAGGGAATTGACCTACATGCCTATACATTTGCCTGCTGCTTAAATGGATTTGCATTGAGAATGTAGCATTGAAAAAAAAGAGGAAGATCGAAATCATTATGCTCTTAAAATTAAGAATCTAGACATGATTAATAAAGGTAATTAGGCCTACATTTTCAGTTCTACCGTTCTTCCTTTGTAATATTAAGTTAATAAGAAATGCTTTTAAGAGTTTTATTAATCATTCATATTTTGAGATCTATGTAATTGGTTATCTTTAATAATATAATGAACATTAAACTTATTTATAAAATATTAACATATTGCATATATTCTTGGGCTTAAAACTCATTATTTGGTTGTTCAATAAATCTTCACTTCAGCTCAACTGCTTACATAATATTTGTGCTCAATAAAGTTCAAAAACAATTTTTTCTATTCATAGTTTTATGTTATAAATAGATTGTGAGGGGAAACTGTTCTGTACCAGAAACTGGTCTGAATGTTGGAATAAGGGTTACATTATTTTATGCTTGCTGGGTTTTAAATTAACACTTAACAAAAAACACTTCTATACTTATTCTTAAATATATATATTTGCAACACGATAGGGATAGAGAAGGATTCAGATGGAGTCGGTCTGTAACAGAATCAACGGTATGATTCATAGTTGTAGTTTATTCACCTTAGAATAGCTACATTTTTTCAAATGTAAATGAAAACAAGTACGCGCGGTCAGTAGGCTACTGCGCATGCGCAGGCTGTGTGAAGAAGCCCGTTGCTACTCGAACCTGTACAATCTGTCGATAAAACAATATAAAGACAGCCAGATGTGCAATAACTGTGGGCAATTCTTTGTTCACATGTTTGTTTATTGTTCAAGCCGATCTACTACGCATGTATGGAACACGTCCGCAGAGCGGACCATCAGCGTATGCTTTCGGAAGTATAAATACAAGTAGTCCGCGTCCGTGCTGTCCGTGTACGCGTCCGAATTGCTCATGCGGAAAGTATAACACAGGCTTAGAGGGAACATTGTATATGACCCCTTTAAGGATAAAATGGTAGCAGCACAACTTTTTTTTCTAAAGTATTACTTTAGGTAGGGCTGGGTATTGATTTCAGATTTCAGGATTTATTTCAATTCTGGATCAAAAGCTCTTGACTCAGTTAAATTCTGTTTCAGTTCATTTGGATATATACAGGTACATTACATGTCATTTTTTCTTAAAAAAATTCTCTCAACTAAAGCTCTGAACTCTACATGGATCCCTGTCAATATTAAATGTTAAAATTAACAGCAGAATCCAAACTATTAAAGTCTAATGCTATTTATTTTTTAGATATAATGAACACTTTGGGTGGGATGGTATATCGAGTTTGTACGATATATTGATATTTTCTTTATAAGCGTTACGATATGAGGCAATACCATTTATATCGATATACAGTAGTTTGATACGAGCGCATCTAAAAATATAGCGGAGGACACAGACTGAGCTGCTGCGGAGAAAGTGCATAATTCAATTTGTTCTAAACATGTGACAAGCTTCATATTAAGGCCTTTAAAAACTGGTAAGACATAGTTTATATTTTCATTTCGCTTGGCCCGTCATATGCTCTGACAGAAAGGCTGCATGTGCCGCTGATAGAGACACTAGGCTACTCGCGCTGTTTAATGTGTTTGAGATGTGCTGTCGTCCTGAATGCATTACTTGCATTTCACAGGTATATTCTCCATCTGTAAATGCTAGAAAGCCATGGAAATATTTCCATTTTCTGTCAGAAGTGCATGAGCCTTCTTCTTTGGGATTCTCCGCTAAACTTCACAGACTTCAGTGAATGAGCGCCGCTGCGCGCATGCGCTGCCAAACAGACAGAGCTCAATTAGGAGCGCAATAATTCTGACTAAAATATACATTTCGCTGAAATATTTGTAGTTGGACAATAAATGTGACATGTAGAATTTTAAACTCTGAATACTTTCCGTACCCACTGTATATATATGTATATATTAAATACAGATTTTTTAAATACAAAAACAAAAATACTGAGATGTATACCGTATATCACAAATCAGCCAAAAAATACAGAGATATGAATTTTTGCTCATATCGCCCAGCCCTAATAAACACTCAAAAACTGAGATGTATACAAACTTTTTAATTGCACATAAGGCAATTTTTTTCAGTTTTATGAAATAATTATGTTTCTACTCCAGTTCATTGTTGAAATATAAATATTTAACAAGTGGCTGTCAGAAAAACTTGAATTATTCAAACATACAATAAATAAAACATCACTAACCATTTAAGTAAAAATACAGTGAATATGTTATATATGTGTATGTGTAATATATACTGTATGTGTGCATATATTTAGCAGAATGCTCTTATAGAGTTATTTTTCCTAGGTGGCTAAAAAGCTATGGACATGAAATGGATTTTCTGAGATAAATGTAAAGTTACATGACATTTTGTTTGCAAGCTGTTTATTGGAGGTCTTTCTGCGGTTGAAACATTGACTAACCAATTACATGAGACATGATACATTTCAGTAAGTTGTATTGTTTCTTTTAACATAATTTCTGGTGTTCGTTTGATTATTTTGTGCTATAACTAGTAGTAAAGAGGAAGAGATTGGACACATGCGCTTCGTGCTACTGCTTGAACTGAGGTGGCTACAGTGATCTATCACGCCACATTAAAGAGTGCTAAAACGGTATTCATTGTTTGAATTTTAATGATAAATCTTACAGAATTTGAAAGCTTAGTCTTTGTTTCATATCAAAAGTAATAAAGCTTATTGTGATTATTGGATGTGAGGTGCTAAATAATGTTTAGCATTAATAATATTAAGTTTTGATAGTGCTTCAACTGAAAACAGCATAAACTAAAAGATCGATTCTTGGGATTTAAGAATTAATATTGGTTCATCAAAATTAGGATAAATTTATATCGATATTGTCACCCCAGTCCTACTTTATAGGCAATAATTGGTCTACTAACTCTCGACCTGCAGTGTATGAAAGACTCCGTCACTCATCTAGATCCAGACATGTTGACTGACCTCCCAAACTTCCAACTTAAGACACCCTACATAAGACACACTCTTCAAATCTGTCAGGTGACTACAGATGTCTACTAATAAACCAGACAGCATTTATACTGAAAGCTCATGGCTTGGATCTAGCACTTGATTTTTTATTTTTTTTATCTGTTTTCCTCCAGCTGGAGTAATTGATAGTGCACTCTTTGTGTTTGCTAACGTTAATATGGCAGAAAAGCATCTGTAAAGAAAATGTGAAAATGATCGTAGCTTTGGAAATATCAGCCCATATAATTATGAACATAGCTGTTACTCTTTTTATCTCTAAGTGCTCTCATTCACTGAGAGAGACATTTCATGTGATTTAATCAAAATCTACCAACACTATCCTCACAGAAATGGTGCACAAAGTCGAACTTGGTTGTGTTTCGCAGCCTGTGGCAGAAGTTCTCCCTCTCTTTTTTTTTTCCCTTTTCTTTTCCTGGCCTCAGTTTTACAGCTTGCTGAAGTGAACCATGGCTTGGCATTTCTTCAGTCTCCGCCTGTTCCTCCTCCCCTGTTTCACAGACTCTTCTGATACTGTCTCCAGGCAGCTATAAA